GGTCACAACATGGTTTGTCTTTTTTACTTTTTTCATTTCTTTTTTTTTTATTTTAATAAAAATATTCATAGGTGATGTTTATTTACTTGCGGGTACAAATACTGGGAAAAGTTGTTTATTTAATAGTCTTATTGATTCTGATCTTTATCATATTCATGTACTTGATTGTATTCAACGTGCAACTGTATCAAATCTTGCTGGTACAACAATGAATGTTCTTCGTTTTCCAATTCAATTACGAACTGGAAAAAATGAATTTATGCGTGAGGAACGTTTAAAAGAACGAGAACACAACGAATTGATTTTTGATGAAAATAATTATTCAATTCAAAGCGAAACAACTATTGTTAGTATGTTTCTTTTTTTTCTTCTAATGATCAAGATATTAAAGATAGCTTTTTAGAAAATGTTGAACCAACAGTAAAATGTCGTCGTTGATTTGAATCTGAAATGAATTTACCTTGAAGTGATGTTTCATATAGATATTCATCTAATGAAAATTCTTTTTATGAAGATCGCTCATTTGAATCGCGTGAACATAATTATATTAATTATCGACAAAAGAAAATCCGAGCTTTTAATCCTGATTGATATAAAAATGAAAAATGGCTTTATTAGACACCCAGAGTTATTTTATTTGAACAAGTAAAAATAAAAATTTTTATTTTTATTAAATTTAAATTTATTTTGTTGTTGTTCAAGATGATTAATAAATGTAGTAATCGAGAAGAACTTTCATATATTGATCATCAATCAACTGTTGATTCTGGGTGTGGGTGGGGTGTGGGTGTGGGTGGGTGTGGGGGTGGGGGTGGGTGTGGGTGTGGGTGTGGGTGTGAGTGTGTGGAGGGGGTGGGTGTAGCTGCGGGTAGAACGAGAATAAGACTAACACGCATACACCTACACACCCCACACCCAGATCCAGACCCACACCCACACGAACACCCACACCCCACACCCACACCCACACCGCACAGCCAGACCCATACCCACACCGACACCCACCCACACCCACACCCACCCACACCCTCACACACCCCCACACCCACCCACACCCACACCCTCCGTCTATAGAATACAGCTTTCTTATCTTTAGACTAGAAAATTCAAAAAACACGCGTTTTAATAAATGAAAAAATTATTTTTTTTATGACTATGATTGTTTATATATGGATAGAGATCAAAATTAACAAACAACAAAATAATAAGCAAACAAAAAAAAAATTAATGGAAAAATATTAATGAGAAGTGTTATGTGAAATTTTAAAATGAATGAGATGAACATGTGATATAGAAAAAAAGCATGAATATAATTGTTCACATATCGAAAAGTTTTTCTATTTCATCTTTTATAACGTCAAAAATTGCTGATTGATCTTTTGAAACATGAGAAACTGATGATTCATCTGATTCATTTGATTCATTTGATTCATCTGATTCATCTGATTCATTTGATTCATCTGATGGATACCATGAATCCAGCTTTTTTATTAATTTCAATAAATTTGAATAATGTTTATTTGTACGTTGAGTATCTTTCCATAATTGCAATGATTTTAATACTACTTCGTTAACATCTTGTAAACTATTAAATGAATCAATACTCCGTTCGATATCAGCATTACTCATAGCCATAATAATATTTAATGCACATATTAAATCAAAAGTTCGTTCATAGAAATAATATGGGAACTCTTGGCCTTTTAATAATTTTGAATAGAAATCTAAAAATGGTTCATTAGCATATGTAAGTGGACCTATTATGTCTATGCTGCCTCCCTTGTTATCCATATTAAATGCAAATGCAAAACCGAAATCAATTAATTTTATATGATTACTATCACGATCTAACATTAAATTTTGTGGACGTACATCACGATGAATAACACGACAATCATATAAATAATGAATTATATCAATAAGTTGTTTCGATTGTATCAATGATAATGATTCTATACATTGTAATTCTTTTTCATAGAATAAATATTTATCTGAATACAAACAATAAAAAAATTAGAAATAGTATAAAATATTATTTCAATCATAGGTAAATGGAGATGTAGTCTTGTACCGAAACAAATCACTTACGTAAAATATTCTTTTTATTAATTATTTCATCTAAACTACGAACGAATAGTATAGATAGCTGTTTAATCACAATCTTAGATATGAACGGAAGTTAAAGTCTTGAAAATTACTCTAAGACATTTAGTTTTCTTTTATCCATAACTGAGCTGAGTTCTTTATTAGAAAGATCATAACAATCACTCAATTACCTGATAGAATTCTCAAGATTCGATATGTTTTAGTTGAGTTCAGACTGAAAGCAAGTTTGTTCTAGTAAACATCATTTTCAAAAATTTCGTTTTGTGTTATTTATCTCGTTTATCAAACAATAGTTTTTAAATCTTTAGTTTGTCCTCTCATAGTAAATAATATCGTTAATGAAACTGATCGATGCTACGTTAACATTTTACAAAAATAATTGGACGAAAATTTTACTAATTTAATTTAATTTTAATTTACTTAATTAAAAAGTATTGTTTTGGTTAGAAAGATAAACGGGTTATTAAAAAAAACCAGCTTTTACGATGAGTTTCGTTAATATATAATACATATTTTTCTTGCAAAGCTCTACTTCTATCTATTTATCCTCCCTTTTCTTACATGGACATGAAAGACTAGAAATATATGGATAAAGATTTGGGCATATATACTTACGTATATACATTATCCCTATATCCTTTTGTTGTAACTCTCATACTTATATCCTTAACCCTAGTGCGTTCCATCTATACCTTTAGTCATATAGCTTTATATCTATCATATTACGTCTATACGCTACACACTTATCCTATTGATATATATCAATACTCTTATTTCTATGGGGTTGCCAACATACTCTTCTATATATACTGTTACTCTAAGACCAGAAACATCTGTTCAAAAAAAAACCTCTAATTAATCAGTGGAAAAACAAAGATTTTTGTAAAGATTTTTCTTGAGAAAGATAATACTCGGCATTTCTGTTGTTAAGTTTGATAATAAGAAATCATATGAAAAGAGAAAGGGACTGCAATAAAAGTAAAGTTCAAGTTATTGTCTACATCACTCCTGAAGAATGTTTGATAAAAATAAAAGAACTATGATCGTCCGGAGCATTTTTTTTTTGAATAAATATTATTCATTGGAGCTACCAAAGAGAAAAAGACAAACATTTAGAAAAACCGATTCAATTAAATTTCTATTGACATATCAATTTATCTATAGCTTCTGAAGCAAATAACTAATGTCATGTATTTCAATCAGACTAAATTTATTTATATTTGTGCTTTTTCTTATACAACTATTCCTTTATTTCTCAGTATTAATACAGATTCTACTGCATATCACTCATAAAATTTATTTCTACAACGGGATCTATTTAAGTAGTATAATTTTGAATCTCATATATGGCAATGTTAGCAGAGTTTATTTCCTACAGTTGCATTTTTACTCGAAATATTTCACTACAAGCAAGAGACTATTGCTCATGGACGCGTTTACACAATAGTTTTAGATGTTGTATTAAACTAAAAACAACATATCGTTTATAAAGCGACGTCACTAAACGAATTATAAATAAATACCGATGCATTTGAACATGTCGAACATAAAAACTAACGCGTTTAACCGCAAAAACTCCATGTTCTTCTGTGGAAACTGACTTTGGAGTACTAATGCCTATAATCTGTTGTTCTTGAGTAGTAATAACATGTTTTATCGAGCTTTTACTTATCATCTAAGGATAAAAACAAAAAATGGTCTCTTTTTTTAACCAATCTTATTTGAAATGATGATTTTTTTGTGTTTTTTTTAACAACAAATATTTTATTAATCATCATTATCCTTGTTTAAGATGTTGCTTCAATCTATATGTATTTTCATTTAAGACAAAACCTTATACTTTTATGCTGAAATTATAACATCAAACATAGTCTGATGATTTTATATCTTACAATTATATACATGTATGCACATGAAAATAAACTTGCATAATTATTCTTATTTGCCCTGTTTATATATACTTTAAAAATATCTAAAAACCAAAACTAACTCTTATATTCAAGTGACTGTATTATCCAGATATTTCTCGTCTTACTCTTTTAATATACCGTTAAGATAAAAAAATCATTCATTTTATTCGAAGTCGTCTTGTTCAAACAAATTACATTGAAGAATTATAAATTCAACATTATTTTTCGCGATAGACTTTGAATCTATAGAAAAAGTCAAAAGACAAATGCCTTACCTGAAGACAATGGATATAGAATATCTTGAAAAAATAAATGAAATTTATTTAAATCATTAAATCGTTTTAATTTTTTTGCCATTTCAACTTCGTTTAGAAAACATTCTGAATATTTACTTTCTTTTAATATTTTCATTACATAATGTGGTGAATCTTCAACCGAATGATTATCTTCATTTTTTTCTAATAAATAAACCATCGATGATACACCAATTCCTAATTTTTTTGTTATCATATATCGATCACGAAGTAAATCATTATTAGGATCTATATTTAATCTTGTATATTGATAAAAGTCAATATTCATTGTTAAAAAATTTGTAACTATTTTCCATGTATTTTTATTAACACCTAATTTTCTTGTATTTTCAGTTGTTGTTATTGTTGACGTATCAATAGACGATAATGCTTCGGACGAATAAGTAAACATTTCTAATTGTTGGCTTTGAAAAAATTCATACGAATTCGAATCGGATTTCTTTTTCACATAAAAAAATTTGATGTGTGTACAATTACTAAGAAAACCATATATCTTTTCACGACCTTGTACTGCCAATATAATTTTCAAATATTGTAATATTTCTTCAATGATTGAGTCTTCTGATAAAGAAACATTTGGAGACTTTATATTACCAAGGCAAACAACAAAATCTTGTAAGCATTCCACTTCTTTATCAATGTCGATATTTATATTTTTATATATAAATGTACAATCAGGATGAAACTTATTTTTTAAATAATATGAAGAAGATGTATGTATATATTTCAATTGTGTAGAATTATTTAATGTATTTAATAAATTAACAATTAAATCATCAAATTTATCTTGAATTTGTTTTTCATTTAATTCAGGATATGATGAAAATTGATTTGAATAATGTTCAACATGATTTAATATATTATCATTATTATAATTATTGTCTTTTAATACTATATTAATATCGAACGATTGCAAATAACCGGGTACATCGATATCGTAAAAATCATAATCAGATGTAAACATATAAAAACCTTTCTTAGTTGATAATGAAGCGTATTCGAGTTCTAGCTTGCGTCGTTTTGCTTCATGAGTTTCACGTATTTGCTGACGTTTTGCTTCATCGATGCGTGTTATTACTTGAGTTTCACGTTTCATTCTTTCAATTGCATGTCGACTTTTTGTTTTTTCGATTTGTATTATTACTTTAGTTTCACGTTTCATTTTTTTGATTGAATGTCGAAATATTGCTTCTTGGGTTTGTTTCATTCCCTCACCTTCACGTTTCATTTTTTCGATTTCATCTCGATGTTTTGTTTCTTCGATCAGTTCTATTTCTTCAGCTTCATGTTTTATTTTTTCGATTTCATCTCGATGTTTTGTTTCCTCGATCAGTTCTATTTCTTCAGCTTCACGTTTTATTTTTTTGATTGCATTCTGAAGTTTTCTTTCTTCAATTTCTTGTTGTGCTTCTTCTTCGTCGACAAGTTGTTTTTCTGTCAATAATTGTACAATTTCTTTGTGATCATCAGTTGTAGCCATATTTGTGTAGTTTTTTCTTTTTATCTACAAAGAAAACAGAAAAAGATATTTCATAGACTGAAATCAAGAGGACGAGACAGTCGAGTGATCGTAGTCGGGTAAGACCGAATGGCGTAGTGAAGTTAAGGCGTAGGTTAGTTCGTTTAAAATTAATAACTGACGACATTTATATATGATTAGCGAATAGAACAGAATCAGCCGGACGACCGACTTCAGCCGACTATTTTTGCCCTGAACAGCCGAAAACAATGAATGATATTAGGCAATGTGATAATCAATGGTTGCAACAAACATCATAGAGACATGAACAAATTATTAAATTTCTTATATGGCGTTCAAAATAACGCTTCAATCCATTTATTATTACAAAGAACATAGTGATATATTGGAAATATTGACTGTGATGGAATTCAAATAACAGATTAAAGTAGGATAAGCCAATTTCGAACCAATCATATATACGCCATATAGTTATCAGTAGTAGGAATCAGCAGGTTGTCACTCAGGTTTTTCGTCTTGTTTTTTTATGGATGGTGGCTCCTAACAATTGTTCATTTTAAACTTACTTATTCGAAACGACTATGGACAGAAAATGAGCTGTTTCTTGTACCAAAAACCTATTCTATGGATTAAAAAAAAAATTATTTTTCTTGTGTTGTTTTACCAGTCCTGCATTTTCCTACATCAACAAAACTATGAAAAGGTCAACGCCATGAATTGACTAAAGAAGAAAATAATGAAATTAAAGAGCTATTTCAATTATTTGACAATGATAAATATAATGAACTTGATTATATCATGAAGTTAAAATAAAAATTCTTTGCATTTGTTTTTGGGACGCAATTATGTCTTAGTATTTGGAAACAAAAAGCCAAGGAAGTAGAATCGTTTTAATTTTTAAAGTAGCAGCAATTGTTTTCTCTAGTTTATTGATGGGTAAAAAAAAAGAAAATGTTAATGACAATCAAAAATGAGAAAGAATAATTGGAAACAACTTCAACACACGAAAAAGAAATTCGTCTCAATAATAGAGACAGACAGATTTGTTTAGTTGAGATACATCTATAATGTTATTATTTGATATTAAAACTACATCATTATTCCAATATTTGGTAGGCACTCTAGGGATGTTAATGGAAAGCGATTGCCATTAGAATCTTGTTTGTCTATATCTGCCATTGTCACATTCTATTGATAAGACTAAACGAAAAAATTGTTTAGTGTTTATTCTGCAAGTAAATTTTTGTTGTATTCTCTGTTCCTCTCATTTCAATCTATATACAATTGATTTGACTAAATCAATTCAAATAGTTTTGTATTATTGTTTTTTGTTTTCTATTTAGGCATCTGAAGAGCTAAGAACGAATCCATTAAGTACTGTCCGATATGCTGAATTTTGTCTTTCGGGTTGCAATAATAATCACAAAAGAGAAATTTTTATTTGTAAACAGCTTGTGCCTTTTCTTAGCAAATATATGCCCTATTTACAAACATTACGTCTTTGGCGACCAGATGATTTTCCGTGAACATCTAGTAAGTTTACTTTAAACCAACAAATCTGATCGCAATCAAAATCTTTTTCTAATTTACGATTAATATTATTGTTTTTTTATTTTCCTAATATTGAATTTCATTTGTCCCTTTAATAATCAAGCAGATATATTTAGATTTCTTTCTCAGAGTTCAGTAGCAACGAAAGAAGATACTAAATCATAAGACTTCAATTGTTTTAGGAAATTTCAAAGCTTTCGTTAAAGGATGAGGGCAAATAAGACCACGAATTTGCCCATATCCTAGATTGTAAGAAGTCATGTATATTATTCGATGATGCAGCGTTCAATTCTCCATCGAATGATACATGACTTTTAACAATCTAAGATATGAGTAAATTTGTTCCCTTATTTGTCCCCGTCCTTTGAACAACGTATGGTTTAGGTTTGTTAATGTTCGAAATAATGCAGTGTTTGATTTTTAAGCAGATAAAAGTTTCTATTCAAAATGTCAATGATGACGAGAGTAGTGATGGATTGATTTGCCCCAATCGTCATATGATCCCTATTATAATTATTAACCGATCCAGTTACTAATATAAGAACATAATCGATATCAACGTTTGTGAACTTATTGCGATAGGTAATAACGACTTGATAACTTTTGTAGATATATATAAACATGTATAACAGGCTTATTTGCCAGCTAAATGAATGCTTAGAGTAATAATAATGTTAAATATTAAAAAAAGGAATAATAAAAGGAAACTAACGAGCAAATAATCACAATTTAAACAAAAAAATACATCACCAGTAGAAAAAGATAAATATGTTCGAAATGCAGAAATAAAAAAAGGCAGCACGTTTTCTGTCGATCAATAATATTAGAACATAACTATAATTTAGGAGAGATTTTCAACTTAATGTATGTTTCAATAGTCAAATCAGACCAAACAAGTACCTAAGTTCCATATTTCTGTCCTAAAGAGCGACGAAAAATTATGAAACTTTTCGAGCAAATATATCTCACTCGATAGAATAAAAATTGTCATAGACCAAAAATTCCGAGATCCTTCCTTCAGAAAGTTTCCAAAGACTGCCAAATTTCATAGGAACAATATTATCAAGAAAGAAAAACAACACCCTAATCGCTTTAAAGTACTCAAAAAAATGTTGCGTTCGGTCGGTTGTACTGCGTAGAAGAAAAGAGGAACGCGAGGAAACTTAATTTTTTTTTGTTAAAAAACTGACTTTGAGAAAAACGAAAACAAAGTTTTCTGTATGTATTAGGACTATTTTTCTCCAAATAGATTGATAGAGAACTGATCATATTCATTAGTGTGATGGGTCCATGACTTATGCTCTAAACACTTTTGGTATGAGAAATAATCATCATCATTAGGCAACTTTGCATAGAATAGCAAAATTCTACGAAGAATTTTCTGCAGGGGACTTTCGAAGCTGGATTTAATAGACGTACTAATTAGAAATGAAGACTCCTTATTTATATGATATTTGAAAGAAAACACCTCGAGTTTATACTAACAATGACAAATGTAAAATTGGAAAATTTTTTTATTTTTCTATGCGGAATAGGGAAGAAGTCTTGTTAAGTCTTATGTAGTTTTACTGAAAAAGATTTATAATTCTGTAACATAGCCTCTATGTTTGAGAAGCAAAATCGAATGCTTTGAAAGCATGAATTAAAATTTGAACAATAGTTGTAGCTTTTGAACGGATTCGTTTTCTCTTTGTTTTTGTAGCTGAACTTGATGAAAGAATTCTGTCTTATTAATTCATCATGGATAATATAGAGGAATAAATTTATGTTTAAATGAGTAAAAATGATTTTAATTAACAAATTTTCTTTAGAAATATTCTTCTAATTTTTTCGTTTAATTGTCTTGATATCGATTTAAAATTTAGAAAGAAACAAAATAGAAAAAGATGCACTTATAGTTTTCAATAATGCTCGAAACTGCTATACGTTTCTAGACAAAAAAATAAATATAGAAAATTGAGTAGTTTTATTTTAAAAATCTTCTGATCAAGGGTGTGGGTGCGGGTGTGGGTGGGTATGGGTGTGGGTGTGGGTGTG